GAGTGGGGAGTTTAATCCAGTTACATTTAGGTTTGTTATTGAGAGGTTTTGTCTTTTTCCTGCCATTTTATTGCTTTTTGTTTAGATGATTTAAATATCTTTTGGTCCTTTCTTCCCCTTTTATTATCCATATTCCTCTTTGAAGTTCATTGGTTTTTTCAGATGATAAGATTTGTTTCTTTTTTCTTTCTCATTTACATTTGTGCTTTGCCAGTGAGTTTTGTTCTTTCTTGTGTGTTTGTGGTAGTGATGATTGGTGTTTTGTATTCTAGATGCAGGACTCTCTTGAGAAGTTTTTTAGGGCTGGTCATTTGTTAATGAACTCCCACAGTTTTTGTTTGTCTGGTAAATACACTATTTCTCCCTCATTACTGAAAGATAGCTTTGCTGGGTATAGTATTCCTGGCTGGCAGGTTTTTTCTTTTAGTATTCTGAAAACGTCATTCTGTTTTCTTCTGGCCTGTAGAGTTTCAGTTGAGAAGTCTGCTGTTAGTCTGATAGGGGCTCCCTTACAAGTGACTTGATGCTNGGGATTTTTCTGGGGGTGACTCACGGAGGACGCCGGGTGGGCCTTCCGGCGTGTTTCAGCGACATTCAGATGCCTCTGCGCAGTTCCTCCGCTGGCTCTCCCGGCTTTGCCGTGTGGGCTGCCAATATTGTTCCCGCAGCCGGGCCTAGGTACCCCCAGGAGTCCTTCTCCGTGTCGGCCCCAAAACCTCGAACCCTCTGCCGCTTATTTGTCGATGTAGGATCGTTGTTGAAAGATTTATTCGTCCTTTGTTGCTCTTAGAAATGCAGTCAATACTCTGGGGGCACAGCACACAGCTCTCAGGATCGCGCTGTTTCCTGACACGGGTGCTCCAGACCCGTTGCCATTTTCAATCCCTCATTTAGTTCTGCTCTGATCTGAATTATTTCTTTCCATCTACCAACTTTCAGATTGGATTGTTCTTGCTTTTCTAGCACTTTGAGGTGTAGTATTAGATGACTTATTTGGAATCTTTCTGCTTTTTGGATGTAAGCTTTAATTGCAGTAAACTTCTCTCTTTTTTCCTCCTACTTCTGCAGTATCCCACATGTTTTGATATGATGTGTCTTTATTTTCATTGGTTTCAAGAAATTTTTTGATTTCCTCCTTAATTTCTTCTTGGACCCATAGGTCATTCAGGATCCTGTTGTTTAATTTCCAAGTATTTGTATAATGTCCTGAGTTGCACATCTTTTTAATTTCTAGTTTCAATCCATCGTGGTCTGTAAAGATGGTTGGGATGATTTCAATTTTAAAAAAATTTTGATACTTGATTTGTGACTTAACATGTGGTCTATCCTGGAGAACGTTCCATGTGATGATGACAAGAACATGTATTCTGTAGTTGTTGGACGAAATGTTCTGTGGATAACTGCTGGGTCCAATTGGTCTAAAGTATAGTTTAAATCCTGAGTTTCTCTGTTGATTTGTTGCCAGGATGATCTGCCCAATGCTGAGAGATGGGTGTTTGGGTCCCCCACTGTTACTGTAGTGGGGTCTCTCTCTTTCTCTAAGTCTAACAGTGTTTGCTTCATATGTCTGGGTGCTCCAGTGTTGGGTGCGTATATATTTATGATTGCTATGTCTTCTTGTTGGATAGATCCCTTTATCATTATATAGTGGCCTTCTTTGTCTCTTTTTATGGTTTTTGGTTAAAGCCTATTTTATCTGGTATATGAGTAGCTACTTCTGCTCATTTTTGGTTTCCATTTGCATAGTATATCTTTTTCCATCCCTTCACTATTTCCATCCCTTCATGTGTGCATCTTTACATGTGAAGTGGGTCTCTTGAAGATGGCATACAGTTCAGTTTACCTTTTTAATCCAATCTGTCTGTCTGTGTCTTTTGAGTGGGGAGTTTAATCCAGTTACATTTAGGTTTGTTATTGAGAGGTTTTGTCTTTTTCCTACCATTTTTTGCTTTTTCTTTAGATGATTTAAATATCTTTTGGTCCTTTCTTCCCCTTTTATTATCCATATTCGTCTTTGAATTTCATTGGTTTTTTGAGGTGATAAGATTTAGTTTCTTTTTTCTTTCTCATTTGCATTTGTGCTTTGCCAGTGGGTTTTGTTCTTTCTTGTGTGTTTGTGGTAGTGATGATTGGTGTTTTGTATTCTAGATACAGGACTCTCTTGAGAATTTTTTGCAGGGCTAGTCGTTTGTTAATGAACACAGTTTTTATTTGTCTGGTAAATACACTATTTCTCCCTCATTACTGAAAGATAGCTTTGCTGGGTATAGTATTCCTGGCTGGCAGGTTTTTTCTTTTAGTATTCTGAAAACGTCATTCTGTTTTCTTCTGGCCTGTAGAGTTTCAGTTGAGAAGTCTGCTGTTAGTCTGATAGGGGCTCCCTTACAAGTGACTTGATGCTTTTCTCTTGCTGCTTTTAAGATTCTCTCTTTGTCTTTAAGCTTTGCCTGTTTGACTATAATGTGTCTTGGAAGGGATCTTTCTGGAATGAATCTGTTTGGGAAACTTTGAGCTTTCTGGATCTGAAGGTCTGTGTCTCTCCCTGTATCAGGGAAGTTTTCTGTTAATATTAAATTGAATAGGTTTTCAATGCCTTTACTTTTCTCCTCCCCTTCTGGAACATCCACGATGTGGATGTTTGTGTACTTAAGATTGTCTGCTAGCTCTCTCTCCCAAGAGTGTGGACAGGTGTGTTCAGATGGGTGCCAACTGCCGTCTCTTGTCCATTAGGCTTGAGGACACCCAGGAGGGTGACCCCTACTCCCCACTCACTTTTCCTCTTATCAGTTGGATCTTCCCACTGAGACTCAAGGCAAAGCCATGCTGCTGATGAAATCATCCCTGGACGGACAGATGTGTGCTGTAGTCCAAATTTTGCACAGGAGGCAAGACTTTGCGACTGCCCACTGAGAGCATGCACCTCAAAACCGGGTGGTAGACAATGTTGTTTTGTAATATTATCTGCATTTTTCTGCACGACAGAGCAGATGACCAATATTGGTCAAGGAAATGCTGGGGAAGGCTGGGGAAGTTTGTTGAGGAGGTTTTTCCCTGAGCTGCTCAGCCTGCTGGCCCTGGCCTGTGGGGTGAGCACAGTCCCCCTCTCTGCCTCTCCTTCCTAAGGAAAAGCACTTCCTTCGGCTCCCGAAGATCCTGATTCTGCAAGTCAGAGAGCTGACATTTGAAAACAGGAAGTTTCACAAAATTCAGAAGCCCGTCAATGTCACCCATGTGCTGAAACTGCACACCAGCCCTCAAGAACCCAATCAGTCTACATCTAACGGTTCCTGTGGGAGCAATGTTACACCAAGCCCAGTGAGTGCCTGCCTTTGAAAGAGTAACCCAAGCTCTGGTGACATTCATGTGGCCTTTGAGGTCAACTTCTTTTCTGGCCAGCAGCCCCTGCAACCAAGTCTCTTCATTTACTGAATGTTTACTGAGCACTGGCCCAGTAGAGACCACAAGACAGATTGGGTGGAGGCAGGGCAGGTGGGGTAAGGTGGGGGTGGGGGTGGCTCCAGGAAATCCCAGTCTGACCCTGCGATTAAAGATGTGACCACATGGCACAACGGGGTAGGGGGTGGTGAGGCCCAGCAGTGCCTGGAGAGGAGTTGGCATTGGGGTAGGGTGGGGAATGAAGAATGCAGGGCGGGTACTTGCTCAGGAGGTGGCGTGTGTGGGACTCCAATACAGGCTGTCCTGAAGCTCTGTCTCCTGCCCATAAGCCCCCTGAAGCCCTCAATACCCTCAGATCCAAGCTTCCCCCAGAGCAGCTGGGAATGCAACCTGGGTAGACATTCATTCTCAGATAGGAGGGCCTGCCCCCCAGGCTGGTCCTGGGCCAGGGCCTCCATGGATGTAGCCACATGTGGGCACCAGCACTTTCTAAGGGGATTCTCCAAAGCTTTGGGTTCTCAGACCTACAAGGATGTCGAGGTGCCTGTGCCCCACAAGGCTGTCCCCAGCTGGGTGTGGAGGACAGCGTCCGTAGCAGGAGGCCCTTCGCAGTCCTTCTGCTCATGGAAGCTGAGCCCTGGGCCCTGAGACTGCCCTGCAGTTGGGACACTCCTGTCTCCCAGGCCACAGTCACAGCTAGTAGGGCCTCTGTCATCATCCTGGAACACAGTCACATGCACCCCCGCCTGCACACCTTCCACCCTCTGAAGACCCCAATCTCCCCTGCAGGAGCACAAGTGCTACCACCTCTATGCCATGTGCTGCCACTCAGGAGACTGCAGTGGGGGCCACTACACGGCCCTGGTCCAGCCCAGTGGCCATGAGCACTGGTACAGCTTCAACGACGAGCAGGTGGCCTGTGTGAGTACATGCTGTCCCAGGGTGCCGGGTCCCTGCACCGCAAGGCCGGGTCTACACTGATGTCTGTATTTAGGGACCTGACGATTTTGTAAGGCGTCATCATCAGTCCCGTGAGCAACAGATGAAGGGGATCGATGAGGCTGGAGCTAAATGTTGCTTTTGCTAATGTTACGGGAAGTGATGGAGACCTTTTTCTTCAAGGTTTAATTTCTTTTGCAAGAAGCTTCTTATTTCTTAATTTCTGAAAATTCTGTATGTTCTTGCTGAAAAAGGAAAGAAAATTTAAACAGTACAGAGAAAGCTGTTCCTGCGATAAGAACAGGGTCCCGGGGGTTGGGGAGTTGGACAGAATGAAGCCCAGTGGGGGGTGGACTTGGGGGGAGGAAGGTGGGGGGGGCGCTCAGGGGCAGCCATGGGGGTGAGGCAGGGGCTGTGGTTCTCCTGGGAGGAGTGTGAGGGGCAGGGAAGGAAGCCAGGGAAGACTGAGGGGACGGAAGACAGCCACCGGGGGCAGGCGGGTCTGTGGGGACAGACTAGGGGACTGAGTAGGGGGTGGGGATAGGGGCCATGCAGCCCCCAGGAAGTTGGGGAGCATGTTACAGAAGACGGGTGATGGTGAGTCGGTGCCAGCCTGGACAGGGGTGCGAGGGGTGGGGGAAACACAGGGGCAACTCCCCTGGGGGCGTGGCTGAGGTGAGAGTGGAGAAGGGGACAGGGCCAGTGGTGGGAGGGCCACATCCTCACAGCCCCTGTCTTCCCTCTCCAGGTGGGGTCTTTTCGTAGGGACCTCATGCACAGGTATGATGGTTGTACCTCCCGGGAAGGGTGGTCTGAACTGTGGTCCTGCGGGTGACCTCCAGGACCCTGGATATTGCGGCAGAGCTTGCTGAGGACAGCCGCCCTTTCAGCCCCTCCCGGAGTGTTATTGTTGTGGGGTCGGGTTTGGCCTGTGTCCTCAGTGGAGGGATGGCGTGTGCATGGAGCATATTTGTGGGAGGAAGGCTGGGGCTCCTCCTGCTCCCCGGTGCCCCTGTGGTGAGACCACCCTGGGGACGGGGAATGTGAGTGGAGAATCATTTCCACGGTCATTGCATGCCACCGCCAGTGTGGGCTGCACATGTGGCCCAGGGAAGCTCTGAAATGGAAGGAAAACCCAGACATACGGAGGTGGCCAGAGAGACCCAAGAAGCCATGCCCACCCCAGCCACTGGCTCCATGGCCCCTGCTGGGGCTGGCATGGCCGCCTGCCAGGCTGGCCCGAGAGAGAGCAGGACACACTCAGCTGTCATCATGCTTCTCCCCTCACTTCCCCTGCATAGGTTTGGGACCCCTTACCTGCTGCTGTATCGCCGTCAGGACCCTGAGGACAGGTGAGTCGTCCTCTGCTCTTGGTGGGTGTGGCAGGAGGCGCAGCAGCCAGGGCCAGGTTTCATGCAGTGGCGCTGTTGCCAAGGTGGAGTGTTAGGGGCCCCCGAGGGCAGCACCCTGCAGGCTGATGCAGTCCTTGGGCCCTGCCCTCTGCAGGGCAAGGTTGGGGTCAGGTCTGGCCTCAAGGTCAGGGTAACAAGTCTGGAGGAAGAGGTTCAGGCCTGCACTGGGGACCGTCGGGGTCAGCCCTGCAGCTGGTCCCACCGGCTGTCCAGCCCCCTGGGCAGTGGTCAGGGATGAGGGCGGGGTGGGGGCTTAGCTTCTGCAGCTCCCATATTTGCTGATGTCACCTGGTGCTGTCACACAGATACTCCTATGTGAACAGGGCACTGGCCAGCAGATACTGTCTGGAGGAGGGAGGGCCCTGGGGCTGGCAGGGTTTTTGGTAGGGGAGGAAAAAGGTGTCCCCTTCCTGGGTGGGCCCAGGAAATGCTGTGGAGGCACCCAGGGGACAGACCACCTAAGCCCATGGGGAGGTGAGACCCCAGGGCAAGCCCCGGGCCTCTGCCTGTTCTCCCTCCTCCTCCCCACTTCCCAATAAAGTCCCCAAAGAGACAGATTCCTGGGGATGCAGCCAGAGAGGTGAAGGGACACCTGCATCTGGGGCCTGCTCCTGCCCTGCCCGGGCTCCAGGGCTGACTCGCAGACATTCCTGAGTGACTGATGTGTGCCAGGCCTGGGGGGCGCTGTGAAGGGCAGGGATAAGGGGCCTCTCAGCCTGCGATTCGGCCCCTCATGCTGCAGGCGGGAGTCCGAGCGTGCCGAGCCTGGTGGTGGAGACTCTGGGACGATGACAGATGTGGCTGCCCCAAAGAAGAAGGTGCCTTTTGCAGGAGTGCAGAGGAAGACCCTCAGCATGGACTCTGCCACGGTTCCCAAGAAAAGATGCAGACGGAGCCCCCGTCCTCAGCAGGACGATAAGCCTGTCTCCTGCAGACAGAGCCGTGCCTGTACGTGACGGTGTGAGCTTGTCCTCCAGACAGCACCAGGTTGGCCCTGCCCTGAGGGGAGCACACCCGGCACACCCGAGGGGTCTGCTGTGGGGAACTGTGTGTTCTCATGATGACCCCCTGAGTTGCAGAGCCAAAAGGACAGACTGCCAACTTCCTGATGAGGAAGTGGTGGTGGGCTGAGCACGGAAAAAGCTGAGGCTGCGGCCCAGCAAGTTTGTGAAAACTGCATGCTCTCATTTATGACTGCTGATTAAAATCTAGTTGGCCGACCACAAGAACTAAGCTGCGCTCGGGTGTGATGATTCTGAGAAGACTTCTGAACAACTTCTGTTTTTTTTATTTTTTCTCCCCCTACTTCCCCTTTTTTACACTTCTATATAAGAAGCTTGTGTGAGACAATAAAACGAGGCTTGATCAGATCCTTGTCTTGCCTCCCTCCTTTGCGTCTCTTGTCCCACCCACTCCCCCTTCCAGGTTCCACGGACCGACTCCCAATTCCCGAGGGAAGGGACAGTCTGCCTCATGTGTGTGTGTGTGTGTGTGTGCGTGTGTGTGAGCATGCATGTGTACCCGCGACATGCTCAAGACCCAAAGGTGCCTGAGAAAGGAGGCCTGGGCCTTTACTGCAGAGGCTGAGGTCTGCAGGGCTGGGCAGGTGTGAATCCCTGATCACATACGTGTATTTCCACCAGCATGAAGTGACTGGTGAAGGTACAGTGTAGGGCAGACTTTTCTGGTAAGAAGGCAGAACAAGGTACCTAACGTGCTGCATGCTACATGCTGCAATGGACTGGGATTTGGGGAGAAAACATAAGAAATATCCTGTCAGACGCATCACTGAACTAACAGGAAAGTCAGGCAAATCCGCAAGGGCTGATGTTGACTAGGTATCTGCAAAGCTGAGGCACGGCCCATGCTGTCCTGATGTGGGGAAGGGGAGAACCAGTTCTGATAACTAAAAAATTTATGATTTAAAGGTGACATTTAGAAAAGAGAGGATGCTCGGGCCCCCCACAGATCCAACCACAAGCAGGGGTTGCATATGAGACCTCTCCATAGAACAACTGTCAACTCCCAGTTAAAAGGCTGGCTAGAAATGACCTGCCACAGCCTCGAAGAGAGACAAAGAGACTCTTCTGACGTGATCAGAGCCCCTTTTCTTTGGGGAGAAAAAAGGTTCCCTGAGAAATGGTACCAGTGGGTTTGCCTTTGTGCAGGTTTGGACTTCAGGATGGTGCAGGGCCTGGGATCCTCCAAACCGTGCAATCGACATGGGCGCTGAAGCTCACCCGCGGCAGGAGCGGATGTAAAACCTCACCCACTGAGCTGCACCAGCTCCTCACCTGCAGGCTTAATAGAAATGAGCTCACCAACCCCCTGAAGAAACTATTAGCCACAAGAAGGGTCACTAAACAAAACATGGAGCAAAATCAGCCTGCTGTGAATTTCAGATCAGCTATAAAAATCACACGTCATCCAGCTGGCAGAACAGTCCCCATCGCCCCTCTCCCCAACATGGAGCAATTTACAACTATTAAAAAGCAAAAAGTGTCAACCTGGGACTGCTGCAGCTCGGGGGAAGAGGAGAGACCCGTGGGGTTTGAGAAGGCAGGAGATGCCTTGGTGAGAGGAAGAAAAAACTGCTTCAACCTTTTTGAGCTTTGGCTGCTTCAAGGCTGGGCCTTTCAGAGGCAAGAAGAAACTGCAGTACACACAGCAGGAGCAGCAAAAGCCCCAGCTGAGCACTTTGTGTGAAGTTTCCTGGAGTCTGCAGGGAGAAGAGGGCCTCAGAGCACACCATACCAGACCCCGGGCCGGTGAGACTACCGACAGGTCTCCCATGGACTCCCATAGGAGGAAGGGACCACAGTCAATTGAAGAAAGGAACCAACCAGAGGCTGGTGAGTCTTCACAAGGGACTCATGCAGGCCTGCCCCATGGGAAGCATTTGGAGTATGGGGGGAGGCTGGACCCTTGGAGGAACACTGGGGTCCAGAGGGCAGCTGATCTGCTTTCCAATCAGCACAGGTCTACTCAATGGAGACAGGTCAGGGAGATAGAACTGCACGAGGGGCAGTTTACTGCAAACACTCAGTCCCAGGCCAGAATTTCTGCAGAGCCCAGGTGTATCTTACCTCAGAACATCCAAATGTAATCAAAAGGCCAACAATTAAAATCTAGACCATGCAATAAAGCTTCTCCCAGAGACTCAACAGTAAAGCAGCAATTTAGCACAACCATAGGGCTCAAGTGCTGGTCCCCACAGGACGTTCCCTCAATTTTGGAACTAACCAAAGCCTCAGAACAGAGACAAAGCTCTCGTTTCCATCAATAAATGTCGAACACCATCAAAGAACACCCATAAAAAAAACCTAGAAGAGGTAGCAGTCTCCTCAGATGCCCAGGCATCAATGTAAAGACACAAAGATTGAGAAAGAACAGAGTAATATGACACCAATGGTAGTGGATTGAGTTATGTCCCCCCAAACTCATTGGCACTTGATTGTGTCCCCAAGTTTTATGTATTAGAAACTTAGCCCCCACTGTGACTGTTAAGAGGATGGGAAATCCTATTATGGTAATTGAAAGGTGGAGCCTTGAAAAGGTGATTGGATTATAGGACCACGCAGTAGTGAATGGATTAAAAATGGTGGTCAGGGACGTGGTTCTGAGGGCTTTAAAAGAAGAAGAGATTCTGTCTCCCTCTCTTTCTGCTTACACCATCTCGAAATGTGGGATCCCTGGGTCCCAGTCACCACCACCAGACGAACTTTGGACATCCCAGCCTCAGAAACTATGAGGAATAAATTTCATTTACTTTATAAATCACCCAGTTAGAGGTATTTTGTTATAAGCAACAAAAATGGACTAATACAGAAAATTGGGACCAATGAGTGGGGTGTTGCTATACAGATACCTGAAGATGTGGAAGCGGCTTTGGAACTGAGTAGTGGGCAAATGCTGGAGGAATTTGGAGGACTTAGAAGAAGACGAAAAGACAAAGGAACGTTTGGAATGTCTTAGAGACTGGTTACGTGGTGGCGAGAGAATGCTGATAGAAATATGGAATGTAAAGGCTATTCTAAAGAAGTGTCAGGTAGAAATAAGGAGTTTTTCAGAAACTGGGGCAAAGAGCAACCTTGCTATAAACTGGCAAGGATCTTGGCAGCATTCTGTCCATGCCCTAGGACTTTGTGGAAGTTGGAATTTAAGAGATGTGAACCAGAGCATTTGGTGGAAGAAATTTCTAAGCAGCAAAGCATTAAGGAAGCTGCATGGCTACTTGCAACAGCCTATGCTGAGTTATGGTGGCAAAGGCTTGATATAAAGCCAGAATTTAAAAGGAAAGCAGAATGTAAAGATTTGGAAATTTTACAGCTTGTCCATGTGGTGGAGAAGCAGAGAGCATTTTCAGAAAAAAAATCCAATGATACTAGCATTAACACACAAAAAACAGGATTATCAAGAGAAGGAAGAAAAGGCCCTGAAGGTATTGCAGAAGGCTCTGGGACCAACCCTTCCATCTCAGGCCCAAAGGCCTAAGGAGTCAGAATGGTCTTGGAGAACAGGACTGAGACGCCCTCAAAAAGCTCACTGCTCAGGGCCACCTCTGGAAGCTGCTTCTAGCACCAGCACCCCAGCTGTTTTGGCTGCTCCATCTATGGCTAAATTGACCCTAGGTGTGGCTAGACATGCAACTTTGGAAAATACAAGCTGGAAGCCTTGGTGGCATCCACGTGGTGTTAGGTCTGCAGGCTGGCAGAAAGCCAGAGCTGTGGAGGCTTGGGAGCCTCCACTCTAATTTCAAAGGATATACGGAAAACACTGGGGGCCCAGGAAGAGATCTGTCACAGGGGCAAAGTCACTGCAGACAGCCTTCACTAGAGCGATGCCGAGTGGAAATGTGGGGTCAGAGTTGCAGCAGAGAAACCCCAACAGTGCCGGGCATCATGGAGCCATGAGAGCAGAACCACTACAGACACCCTAGACCTGTTGAGCTAACCAGAGGGGAACACCAGCCTGGGAGAGCTGAAAGGAAAGCCACAGGAGCAGAGCTGCCCGAGGACTTGGGGACCCAACCCCCCACTAGTGTTTAGAGGAGGTCGAACATGGAGTCAAGGTACATGATTCACCAGCTTGGAGATTTAATGCCTGCCTTGCTGCATTTTGGAATTGTTGGGGACCTGTTACCCCTTTCTTTTGGCCTATTTCCCCCTTTTGGAATGGGAATGTGTACCCTATGTTTGTCCCACCACTGTATCTTGGTAGTAGATAACTTGTTTTTGATTTCACAGATGGGACTTTGAACTTTGGACTTTTGAGATGAAAAAAGTTCACACTTTGGGGATGGAATGAATGTATTTGCACGTGAAAAGATGTGAGTTTTGGGGGGCCAGGAGCAGAATGTAGTGGATTGAATTATGTCCCCCCAAACTCATTGAATCTTGAATTGTGTTCCCCAAGTTATATGTATTAGAAACTTGGCCCCTGCTGTGACTGTTAAGAGGGTGGCAAATCATATTATGGTAATTGAAATGTGGGGCTTTGAAGAGGTGATTGGATTCTGGGAACATGCGGTAGTGAATGGATTAAAAACAGTGGTCAGGGGTATGGTTCTGAGGGTTTTAAAAGAAGAGGAGAGTCTGTCTCTCTCTTGGCTTTCTCTGCTTCCACCATCTTGCAATGTGAGATCCGAGTCATTTACGCCACCACCAGATGGACTTTGGGCTTCCCAGCCTCAGAAACTGGAAGCAATAAATTTCATTTTTCTTTATAAATCACCCAGCCTGAGGTATTTTTTTTATAATCAACAAAAATGGACTAATACACCAACAAAGGAAGCGAACCAAGCCCCAGGAATGGACCCAAAGGAATAGCAGATTTATGAAATATCTGACAGGGAATTCAGAATAAACCTCTTAAGTATGTTAAGGGAGTCACAAGAAAGTACAGATAGATGGTTAAATGATATCTAGAAAACATTCCAAGAGCAGAATGGCAAATTGACAAAAGTATTAAACCAATTTTTTTTTTTAAATATTGAAATTCTAGAAATAAAGAACACATTATCTGAACTGAAAAACTCCATAGAATGGTCCAACAGCAGACTTAACCAAACAGAGAGAAGACTTAGCTCAAAGACAGAATATATGAAACCATCAAATCAGAGGAGCCAAAAGAAAAAAAGAATAAGAACAAATGAAACAGAAATCCAGCATATATGAGATTCCTTCAAGCAAAGTAAGCTCCACGGAATCAGTGTACACAAAGGAGAGGAAAAAGGAGGAGATGTAGAAAGCATATGCAAGGACATAGCTGAAGGTTTCTCACATGTGGAGAAAGATGACAGCGTCCAGTACGGGAAGATCAGAGGCCGCCAATCAAATTCAATCCAAGGAAGAACACCCCGAGGCACATC